GTGTGTGTGTGTGTGTGTGTGTGTGTGTGTGTGTGTGTGTGTGTGTGTGTGTGTGTGTGTGTGTGTGTTCTCCACACCCCCATCCCGTCACTCATAAATATGCCAGGAATTACATCGCAGAAATGCACTCAAGATCTTTTTGAATCATTACAAGCCTGATTTAAGCTTTTCCTGTTTCTTTTTTTCCCCATCCATCTGCATTTGAGATCATGATATCCACACTTCAGCCTCGCACTTCTTTCTTCGTCCTCCTCTCCGTTCCTTCCTCCCTGTCTCATTGTCTACACCTCCAAACATTGATCACAGAGGGTGCCGAGGCTCCCCCGGCCGCTGACGGACGGCTCCGAGATGTGGCTAACCAATGGGAGTGATGGAGTGGAGCTGGCCCGCACTCGCAGGGGCCGTGCAATGAAAGAGCAATTCCTCAATCCGCATCCAGGCAAGAATGAGAGGAGTTGAGAAGAGACATGATGAGAGGAGCGGAGATGAGCTCGCTGAAAAAAAGCCTCCCCGGCTATAAATAGTTGGAGGCCGCCCCCTCAGACAGCACTTCAAACACGAGGGGGCCTGTGATCGCAATAGAGACAAATATCTGAGGTAGACCGTGGCATTATTGATTCTATCCATCACGCCTCAGAAGAGGCCGCGATGGGAAGGCCTGTTGATGGCTCGCCATGCCTTCTGCGGCGATATCAAAAGGAGCAAAGAGAAGTTGAAATCCAATTCCAAAGAGCAAACCGCAGGCTGTCTTCCACTCCTGACAACAGCTCCTGTTTACTCAGGAGCAAACACAGGTGGAGAGCCATGTGAGAATAGCCCCTTTTCTTCTTCAGCCTTTTCTTTTCCCCTCAATGGGCAGGAATGAAGATGAATGCTCAACACTGACACTCAAACACACACATAGACGCACACTCAACCAGCTGCTGGAGGCCAAAACACTCACAGTTCTAGATTGCTGAACAAACTACTCCAACTTTTAGCTTTAGATGCAGCCCGCCAGTCCAAACGTTTTTTTAGGTTTCTAAAGGTGCAAGTATCTTTTCACAGACACAATGTCATCACTATGTCTCAAACTCCCCCACCAATTGACATCCAAACTGTTGGAATGACAGCAGCCTCAATGTCTTTTAGAAACAAGCCATGTCCAACAGCTTTTAACATCCATCCATCCATCCATCCATTATCAATACCGCTTATTCCCTGATGGGGTCGCGGGGGGAACTGGAGCCTATCCCAGTGGTCAACAGGCGAGAGGCAGGGTACACCCTGGACAGTCCGCCAGTCCATCGCAGGGCCACACACAAGGACAAACAACCACTCACACTCACATTCACTCCTAAGGGCAATTTCCCCAATCTCCAATCAGCCTAACATGCAGGTTTTTGGACTGTGGGAGGAAGCCGGAGAACCCGGAGAGAACCCACACAGACACAGGGAGAACATGCAAACTCCACCCAGAAAGGTCCTGGTTCCCCCGGGATTCGAACCCAGAACCTTCTTGCTGGGAGGCGACAGCGCTAACCACCACACCACCGTGCCGCCCAGCTTTTAACAAGTTCTGATTATTTTTCCTAAATATTAACAGTAAATATTTTTCTGATAAACTCAGCAGCCTAAATACATCTAGATACATACATCTGATGCCCGACCCTTTTCCACAAACTCCACAATCTGTGCATGGAAGGAAGGGTATTAGGTATTAGGATGCAGTGATGGAGGGATGTTATCGTGGAAGGGGGATGAAGTCAGAGGAAAAGGGATCCATCCATTAGAGGGTATAATGAGAGGGAGCAGCTGCATGACGCTGGGTCAGACGCTACACAGATGTGAGGGGACTTCAGGGCCCGACACGGCTAAGAGGGAGAGCTGAAGTCCCAGCTCCATGACCTCATTCTCAGAGTCAGAGCCCCCACTGACTCCACCAGCAATGCCAAACCCTGAAGATGCTTCCAGCTACCTGCCCGACCTGCGAAAACCGGTATCAAGAGATAGCAAAGCCTGCAATGTTCTGATTAAGTATTTTTGTCTAAATTTCTGGCAGCCTCAGCATGCCAAACACTGATCTCAGCTTTGGGAATGTAACATGGGGTGTGGAGCACTTTCTGTTTGTCTTTCATGTGGAAAGGTCAACAGAAACACCAGTTGTCTTCATTTTTCTGACTTTGGAGAAATTGTTTGCTACTCAAAATATGTGCACGGTTTATACTGAATGTGAATCCACTTTTTGCAGACCTGTTTTTGTTGTATAATCGCCAGTTTTCATAGGGACATGCTTTCAATTTAGACTTAGAATTTTGACTGACTGATGCACAGGTGGTCAGTTGAACTCATTTTATGGACATGTAATGTTTATGAACCAAGTGTATTTAGATCCAGTGGAGACTTTTCATGCTCAAGCAAGTGAATGCTCCCCGATGAGTCAGCGCCACCTTTACTATACCTATTCAGGAAAAAAAATGTATTATTCTTGCATTTTTTTATGTCTATGGAGTAAAGAAATTAAGACAATATTTGTGTTTGAGATGCTACTATGTGGTGAAAGTATAGAAAACATGAAAAATGAATGGTATCATACACTCTCACTTTTAGTAATGAATTGCTAAACCAAGTGGTAAAAAGGATAAGCAGATATTGAATAATAAATACTGAAAATAAAAAGATGCAACGGAAGAAGAGACACTGAAGTCAAAAGGACACATCTAGACTGGGCAATAAGTATACATAAAAACGCGAAAGGTTATTGAGAAAAGAAACCAACAACAGAATGGATGAACAACGACAACCCAACAATACGTTTGGACGAAACAGTTCACTTTCAAAATGTGCACATGTTAAGAAACACTGAAGCAACACAGAACATTTTGTGGATCGTGACATGCTCACACACACGGTCCTACAAGTGTTCGAATTCACGGCCCCGGATCCAAACTCTTTGCATCCCACAGTGACGTTTCACACACACACGCTGACTGCAGCAGTTCCAGATATCGTAGAGGTGTTGACACATGCAACCATTTCAGTTGATTGTGCGGCTGACAGTCAGGGAGAGCCGAGCCTGGCTCACTCTGTTGTTACAGGCCCCTGCAGTTGCTCTTTCCTTCAGACGATGACATCCAGCTTAGTCACTCAAGTGCTTCTGCTTTGTAATGCCTGTTCTCTTGTAGCTGCACTGTTCTCCAAACAGAACTGGAAGAAGAACATTGTTATTGTGTCAGATTAGATGGACATAAATGCTTCTTTCCATTCATCCCAAACCTTAAAATCAAGCCAAAATTTCGTGAATTCGTCAATTTGCCTTTTCAGAGTCTTTATTTATTGTATTGGCTTTTATCAGCAAAACTCACATTTTACCACTTGAGTACAAACTGAGATTTAGATTACTGAATCAAGAATCAACTTAGCGTTTCAAGGCTAATTCTTTTGCAAAGACTCAAAACAGGGTTAACTTTGCAGCTCAGTCGCATTCGTCATTAATGCAAAATTAAATGAGATTTTCTTCTAAAAATCTGCTCAGGTGAGCTGTGGCTGAAGTGTCGGCCGTGCAGTTGCATGGCAACATTGCAATTCAAAGCACCACCAAGCCAGAAACACAAGCTGGGCTAAAAGAAACCCACAGAGCACTATTTGGGTCACTGAATACTTCTGTGTTTACCCTCAGCCTTCTGTGGGATTGACGCTTCGATCCCCACCTCCTGGGAGTTTTTCCATGTGCCATGGGGGAAACTTAAGCCTCAGCAGATCTCTCAAACAGGAATTTTCACTTCTACTCTCATAATCCTGTAACCCTCACTGCCTTAAAAAAACCACCGTGTGCATCTGTGTGTGTGACAGGTCTAAATCTTCCCCAAACAGCACACCAGCACAGCCCAAAAGCTTAGTCTGAGTGGCCAAAGACATAATAGAGCAGTCAGCCAATCAGCACGGGGCTGCATGGTGACTGGTCGTGCTATTTTTTTTTTACCTTTAGAGCCAAGCCACACAAAGACTATTGAATATTTGCAAAGAATAAACAGATTATTCTCCTGTACCTGCTCTTATCTTGTATGAAAAGTTCATATAGAAGTGCTGATGAAGAAAGGCTATTATAAAACAACAAGGAGGACTTTTCTCTGCCACGTAAAGGTCCTTCACATTGTTATGCTTTCCATCTTCTCCGCGAAGATTTATTTGTGGAGCACCAGAAGTCACATTGCACTGTCAAAGTCAAAAGGTGTTACATTAGCTGCAGACGACCATTTATTTTGGGGTCAGCGACCTCGAAAAAACAACAACGATTTGGCAGCGGCGGAGGCAAATCTATCCCTCATATGTGTCCAGACTAGCAGGAGCAAGTACAAGCAGACAGCACAGTCAATCTGGAGGAGAGGCTTCCCTTTCTATCCACAAAAATAACATTGTTGGGTATGAAAGAGAGCAGTATTGTGATGTGTCAAGGAGTGCAACAAGTTTGTACCATTGCGTTTATGTTCGGCTGAAGGCATAGCAGACTTTAGAGTTAAGATATCTGGGAATGACAGGGAAAAATCAGCTAGAAAATCTATCAAATGTTCCCTCAACAGAATAGCCCAACATATCTGTGAATGAGCCCAGCAGCAATGGAGGCGGCTCCCCGCTCTTTCTAGCTGTGAGCCGTTTAAAGCAAATCACTATGTGGGACTTTAAAAACATGTCACCCACCTGTTGCAGGAAGTGGAAATTACAGAGCAGTGTGAGAAAAAGCAGGTCACAGGTTGTTTGAAATAAATTACTGCCGACAGGAGCACAGTCTGAGCACAGAATTGTGGTTTCACACGGATAAAAAAAATGATCAATGCAAAATGATCTGTCGCAAAATGAGACGGTATGATAAGGTGTTAATAAAAAGGGTGACGTATATAACGTTTTCAATTACTTTTGCCTGAACTAAATAAGAGGGAGGGTCGAGAAGCGACGTGCATTTGACTGAAATCATCAATGTCTTTGCTTTTTAGTCATATTTTTCATTTTTGTTATGCTAATGTAATTTTCATGCTGAGACAGATGAAAGTCTGGATTAAATTGCCAGTGCACAAAAAAAAACAAAGGCATCCCAACAGAGTAAGAAAACAACATGAATAACATCTAATCTGAATGTTTTGATAAAGATGAAAAAACATCAGTGCACACATGAATTAATTAAATATATTTACTTGATTTATTGGCCAATAGAGTTATCACTAAATAGGACACTTCCTTAAAGGGGTTTGATTATTGGTTTGCATCAAGTAAAGAGGATTATTTAAGAGATTGGAGAAATTACTAAAACTTTGGTTAAAAACTATTTTAATATTCTTGAAGGTTTTTACTCCAGATTTATTTTTTCCTCTGATGGCATGAAAAGTATTCTTATATGAGATAAGTAGACTTGATCCAATCCAAATTGGGAGACGGGGCTTAATGGAGCACAAACTGTCCACTACAGAGTCCAGATCTTAATCAGGTGGAGAATCTTAGAAGTAGATGTTGTAACAGTATATAAGCTTATTGAGACTATGTCAAAAAGCATATACAGCTCCTTTTTTTTCTTTGTTTCATCTGTTTGGCACGCAGCGTATGTTGGGAAAGGATTAAATGGCTTTCAGGTGGAAAACAAACATGCACCGGGCCTCAGAGGCTCTCGCTGTATAGAGGAATCTCGACCTGCCATTCCATTACAAAAGGAGATTTCGCGTAATCTCCTTTTACTTAGAACAGGGTGGAGAGGTTTTCATGCAAGGCATCTTAAAAAATCAAGCTGCGCTGTCAGATGAGCTTAGGCGGTAGTTTATACACACCTACAGAAACATGCCTGCATTTGTAGCCCGGCCTCCTGAGGAGGGCCCAACCAGAAACAACCACACGGACGTGATTTTTCAGCTCAGACTTTTTGTGTCAACACGACTCAAAAGGAGAGCTCCTGTCGTCCTGGGGGATAACAGCGCGCTCTCTCTGGAGGGATCAGTCCGCAAAGACGCCGCCATCGTCCAAGTGTTAAGCGCTGTTTGTGCAAACACACGGCACGGCACGCAGAGATGTGCGCGGCGCAAATCCGCACACACTCATCCGCGGTGGAAAACTGCCAACTGTGCCACAAAAACAGAGGAAGAGAACATGTAACAACAGAACTGTGGCGAGCAGGAAAAAAAAAAAAAGAGTGCGAGCTGCGTTTGGCTCTCTCTCCTGGATAATTGCTGTTTTGTCTTAACTGCCTGTGCTGTTATTTATTTGCACAGGAACTCAGACAGTTCCCCTCAGGGCGAGAGATGTTTTTCGCTTAGGTGTGTTCTTGGAGGCGTTGAAAAAAAACAGTCGGATTATTTCCTGTTGCATCAGATTATCTGAAGTTTACAGCATGGAATTGTTCACCGAATTGTTGCTCCGGGGGGGAGGAGCAGGCCCTCTTTTTTAATTCTAGCAGCTAAACTCCCTTTTTGGCTGGCAGCCTGATACTTTGACTGCAAACACAAGGCAGCGCCTGCACGCATTCTCCAATGTGACAGCACAAGCTCCAAAGAGCACATCTGACTTTCACTCTCCTCTATCTCAACAAATTTAGAAGAGAGCCAGGGGG